GGAATCTGGCCGTATTAATGTGCCGCCGATGGCGCCATCTTGCTCCGGCGGTCACCCTCGGCAGAAAAAGTGCGCATTCTGACATCTGCGCCAATCCGCGACGCCCGACTGTGAATGTGCAGCATATTCTGACAGATCGCCCCTGTCTTTCTGCGGCTGGCCCTTTTAGTGCGAAGTATACGGTGACAGTGACGGAACCCAGGCTATAACTATCCCTTGGTTACTCCGGTGGTGCCCCATCGCCCCTGATCTTGTTCGTGCATCCATTATCTAGCGTCTTAGCGTCGTATACGGACGCGGTTAATAAACCCCTCTACCCCGCGCGCATCTTACATCAGAAAAATGTCCAAGTTCGGTGTATTGGTAATGGGCCCGGCGGGCGCTGGGAAAACCACCTTTTGCAATGCCGTCATTCAACATCTCCAGCATACGCGCCGAAGTTGTTTCTACGTCAACCTGGACCCGGCCGCGGAAAGCTTCAACTATGAACCTGACTTGGACATCCGCGAACTGATCACTTTGGAAGATGTCATGGAGGAAATGGGCCTGGGGCCTAATGGAGGTCTGATCTATTGCTTTGAGTTCCTCCTGCAAAATTTGGACTTTCTGTCGGAAGCCTTGGATCCGTTGAGCGAAGAATATCTGATTATTTTCGACATGCCGGGCCAGATCGAGCTCTACACACATATCCCCCTCTTGCCGTCACTGGTACAGTTTCTGTCGCGTGCGGGGCCCCTGAACATCAACCTCTGCGCGGCGTATCTCCTCGAAAGTACCTTTGTCGTTGACAAAGCCAAGTTCTTTGCCGGCACCCTAAGTGCCATGTCCGCAATGCTGATGCTCGAGATGCCCCACGTAAATATTTTGACTAAGATGGACCAGGTCCGGGACATGGTGACTCGCAAAGAATTAAAGAGATTCACCAATGTGGACGTACAGTTGCTGCAGGATGACGATGCTGATGCGATGGGAGACCCGTCGTCCAAAGATACATTGCTCAGCGGTGGCTCCTTTAAGCAGCTCAACCGGGCCGTCGGCCAACTCATCGATGACTTCAGTATGGTCTCATTTCTGCAATTAGATGTGCAGGACGAGGACAGTGTCGCCGCTGTTCTAAGCCATATCGACGATGCCACTCAATTCCATGAAGCGCAAGAACCGCGCGAACCCAACGATGAGCAGGAGGTTAATTACGAGGATGCAGACATATGATCGATCAATCAAAAATATGAAGGAATTAATTGTCAAATAGCCTTGTTCGAACATACAGGTGGGACCTACCAGCAGCAACAAGACGGGGCCATTTAATCCCTCCAACTTGTTGTTATGATCCGACCGCCAAGGGGCGCCAGAAGGTCACTGATACGCTTTGATCCCGTGGCAGGGATTTGCCCGCTTAGCCAGATCAGAGCCAATAATGATCATCAGCGCGCTGGCGAGCAAGCAATGCAACACCCAAACATGGTGTGCTTGCTCCGTCATCAAAGGCGCAGAAATGCCACGATATAGAAGCCATGTATCTAAACCGACACACCATCATGAAAACAAAATAATGTCGCAAATAATAATGAATAATGTATGCATCATAAATCCAACATCGTAAAAGCGCAAAGACGGAAAAAGCGAAAAAACCAACGCTGTGAACGCGAGTATCACCAACTCCCCAAGTTGGCATTTTTCTCCAGCATATACCCAAGAACAGCGCAACAACATCAATCGCACATGATTCGTAAAAGCCAGGCCGAGGTGGCTAAAAGCTCAACCTCTCCCCATAGGGACCTGAAATTCCCGACCAGAAGCATACCCTCCCCAACCTCCAGTAGCCGACGACGATCTCTGACCGCCCTCAAATCCATCCTGGAACTTCTCTGCGAATCCCTTCACGACCCCGTAGAGCCAGCCTAGATCGCGACCGGTCTTCTCTAGCCCAGCAGTATACGCGTACCAGATGGCTCCGAGGATGAATCCCCACCAGATTAATCGCAGCGCCAACGTAATCCAGAACATGACGACACGTCGCGCATAGTCGAGGACCTTGAGAGAGATGATGAGAACGAGAGCGAGGATCAGGACCGATACAAGATCGGGCATTGAAGAGGCGAGCATTGTGGCGAGAGGTTGGACGATGTATGGGTCCAGGTAGGTTGTCTTCAGGTGGGAGATGTAGGGATCCAGGTATGTGGTGCGGGCGTTGTTGACGTGAAACACGATCGAGGATGAGGTGAGTTGTTGGATTGTGGGGTTGTCTTGGATTAGGGAGAGAATGGATTCTTGTGCCCGTTGTTAGTTGACAGCTAGGAAGGCGTTTATTGTTATAAGCTTACCCGGGAGGAAATCCATGGTGACGAAGTCGTGCGGTTGTTTGCGTTTGGCTAAGGCAGATACAGTAGAAGAGAGGTAGACAAAAGCTTGAAACAGTCTATGGATCGCACTTTATAAAGGAGCCAAAAAATCTCCCATCACCGCTATGTGGAGCACTGATGCATAGTTGTTGAATGTCTGAGACATGTGCATTCCTCGGAGGACAGATCAAGAAGAGAAAGTGAGCAAACCAAGCAAACACGCGGAAGGGATAAGATCAATTGCATGCATGTATTACTCTTGGTCGCCCTTCCCCCCTCTCTATCTATGTGTATTAAATTTGATCACATCGTGATCATGATATATACATGTCCACGTCCCGTGTGGATTCAAAATCGACCATATACAAATGTCGTCAATATGCACAGCGCCCAAGTAGTGGTGGTCTTGGGCCAAAGAAAAGCATCACGAACTAGGCGCTACCATGCGCCTCCAAAACAATAATCGCGACTCTGTGTAACACCGGAACACCGACACCAAGCGCCAGGGGCCACAATCGTCAGTATATATACAAGATTAATAACGTAACATAGTCTGGAGGTAGATCAGCCCTGTAGGGCCTTGAAGGCATCCCGCTCAGCCTGAATCTCGGCCTGGAGTTTCCGAGTTTGGCGAAGTGCCTCGTCTCTGTACACACGTTAGAGTCATCACCCAATCAACAAGAAAAACCGACGGTGCTTACCGGTCAGACTGGAGTTCAGCCACTTCGATCTGCGCACGGTTCATGCGGCTAACTACCTCCCCCATCTCCATATCGGCGTCGCGGAGAAGTCTTTCGAGCTCTTTCACCCGCCGCTCCAAGGCCTCCGGCTTTACAGCCTGGTTCAGCGAAATTCCATCGCCACTAGTGGTCTTGTCTAAGCGAGGCGACCGTGCAACGAAGGGCGACGAAGGAGGCATGGGGGACAAGCCGGCGGGGCTACGAGCACCGTTCTTCATCCGCAACAACTGAGCATTATGGCTTTCATTCAGCTGTTGAATCTCGTCTTCGTGCCGAGCCATTTCGTCCTCAGCATGTTGCTGAGCTATCAAAAGGGTGTCTTCCAGCTCCTTGAGACGTGCCTGCATTTCATTGATCCGAACCGCAGAAACCTGTTGCTCTTTTTCACCCTTGCCGATAGCGTCTGCCAAACGGCTGCGCAATGCATTGTTCCTCTCAAGCTGATTCTGCACATGCTGCGAAAGGCTTTCCGTTCGACTGACCGAGGCTGCTAGCTGGTCATGTTCTTCCAGAGGTGACTGAGCGGCGCTTGCTTCAGCTTGCTCCCGCTCAGCCTGGAGCTGCTTATATGCAGATTCTAATGATGAGGAGGTGGCTAGAACCTCAGCAAAGCCCTCTTGGTCAGCTCCTAGGCCCTCCGGAACGGTAATATCGTGTTCTTGCAGTAACACCCGAAGGGACGTTGTCTCCTGCTCAGCACGGTCAAGGTCCATCTTGAGCCCTGCCAATCCCTTTTCGCACTGCCATTTCTGATCCAACGCATCTTCGGCGCGTTGCCGGAGATGATTGACTTCCTCTCTCAGGCTGCGGACTTCTCTCTCGTAACCAATTTTGCGTGGAGATCCTAATTGTTGTGCGTGAGCAACCTCTAGCTCCATGAGTCGGATACGCTTCTCGTATTCCCGAGCTTCGTAAGCTTGACGGTCGAGCAAACGCCGAAGGGCGTGGTGAAGTGCATCGCGCTGTGCTTCAACACTCTCCATGCGATCCGCCATGGATTCCCGGGCGTCACCCCCCTTGGGAGTGCCTGGGCTTGATTGCGACAGAGAGTTGGAACGGGACAGTCCTGTTCGTACGGTAGGTTTCGAATGCATCCGAGCCAATGAGCTGGAGCGCGACAATCCCACTGCAGAGTTTCTCTTGGGAGTTTCACTATCCTCCGATATGGTAGCAAATCGGCCACCTTGCAGTTGTGATAGCGCAGCATTCTCGATCTTCAGGGCTTCAAGCTCTTCCAATAATCGCTGAACCTCAGAGGCATCCGATATAGATGCTGCGCTACTCTTTAATTCGGGAACCATGTGATCACGAAGGTGATCACGTTCATTTCGAATCTGCTCCAGCTCTACTCGCATGGCTGTGAGCAAGTCTTCAAAATTATCTTTGATCTGCCGCTCTTCCGCCAATTTTCTGCGAGTAGCTTCCAGAGCACCCTCGAGTTCCTTTGTCCGAGAAGACAGATCGGAGAGGTCAACTCTCTCTCGTCGGAGCTAATGAAAGCAGGTCAATTCCATACCGTATGATACAGAAGCAGAGGTGCATCGACATACCTGATGTACTTGTGATTCCAATATTTGGACATGTGAATCTGCCGCTGCGCGGCGAGCCCGCTCTTCCTGCCATCTCTGCGTTAAATCTACTTTCAACTGAGCCCGTTCTTGCTCCGATGCCCGCCGATATTTTTCAACATCGTCGATCCGCCCATCGTACACAAGGCGAATGGAGCTGGTACCCGAATCAGAAAAATAGTCACTGGTACGTCGGTTTCCATTGTCCAAAGGCAATTCTGATTGAAGTCTTTCAACCAAATCCTCCAACTCCATCTCCCGCCGTATGGAGCCAGCCAACTCAGAACTGATTTCCCGGAGTTCATTTTCGAGCTCAACCACATGCGCCGTGGAAGGTCCTGTCTCCAGAATACTTGCACTACTCAAGGACGGATTGCGCGGTGGAAACCCCTTGGAGGCATCGAATGGCACCGTCGTGGACGGCGTCACCGCACTGGGTAGGGAAGGAGGCATTGGGGATGGGAGCGGAGAATTACCAAGATCTGAGATTTCAGTACTCGATGATTCTGCGCCAGGTGACGTCGCAACGGCGCCTCGCCACCCAAAGAATGAGCTAATTTTGCGGCCGGGAGTTTTTGGAATTTTAGCGTCTACAACGCCGGACGTAGAACGTTCGCTCGAATCGATATGGAGCGGAGGGGGTCGATGAGAAGGATGTTGTAAGGGCATTGTCGTAGCCCGTTTCTGCATTATTAAGGGCGACTTGAGTACTGGGATAAACGGTTCGCTAACGAGACGACTATGCACTGGCCCCCCATTCGCGAATTGGGAGCCGTAGTCCGCGTCAACGCCCACGTCGCTGTCCGGCGAATCTATGTATGAGGCGGATGTGTCTATGCGAAGAGGAGGCGCGGGCTGTCTAGCATGGGGAAGTCTGAGGGTAGCCAAGAAAAGAGCGGGATTAGCTGTGACACGTCGGAAGGGGGTATGGGTATAGGAAGACCTCTGCCCAGGTGGGGACCAGGCGAGTGTGTCAGAATGAAGATCAAAACCGGGGAGACGGCGCCGGATAAGAGGGCATAAGAACAAAGAGCACCACGGCTTTCATACCTATCTAGATCCCTGGGCACAAAGAGAGAGGGGTCCTCCGCGGGAACGGAGACGGACGATTGGGACAAAGCGGAACGAGAATGGTTCTGCACGTCAGAAACGCCCGTGACAGGGAATGGAGGATCTGCAGGCGATACGCCTTCGGGGAAGGAGGCACTGGAAGAGGACTCGGACCGGCGAGGGGTTATTACAGCGGCCGCATTCTGGGGCAGTGGCTTCCTGCGCACGGGGGAGGTGGTCGTAGGAGAAGTGATCGGAAAGGGAGGATGAAGAGGAGCGGTTGTGGAGGATGCGGAGGGAGGAGGACTTGGCCAACCGCCAGTGTCACCAGTCCCTTGATAGTCTGGTTGATGGGAGACGGCGGACGCAACAGTGGCCGACGATAAGGCGTCAGGAGCCGGCGGAGAAGCCCAGTCTGGGGCCATGACAGGCGTATTAACTTTTATGGGAGAGCGCGCAATGGAATTGGCCAAGAAACATGCTATAGTGGAATTCAAATTGTATCAGAAACAGGAAAGGGGAGAGAGAATCAGAATCACCCGTTAGCCAACGGGGGCATAGGATCGACGCACCCTCATGGTGACGATGAGCCTTGACTCCTTGGGGAGCACGGGCAAAACGGGCGATGACACGCGCCGGGTCTTTAGGGGGTAAGACTAAGAGTGGGATTGCCAGTGATAGACCTTGGAATGGCGTCTGTTGATTGATGGACGATTGGGTAAAGGAGTCTAGTTTTTTTGTCCAGGAGTGAAGGTGACCAGGAGCCGGAGACTTGGAAAGACAACCAGACTAAGGGGTGGAAAGGAGAAAAGGATTGGCGGTTCGGGAAGACAGCCTCCAAATAGTGAGCATTACCTGATTCGGAGGGGGGGGTTAAGGTCAGGTGGGGCGTTTATCAAAAAAGCATGCCAGTATTAATTTGGACCATTCCTTAGAAGATTGAACATCTTGGGCGGTTAAAAAAAAGACTATCCAACCGTGGAAAAGAAGTACTTCTATTCTTAGTTTTCCCAATTTTGAAGAAAAAGTCTATATTCAGAAAATTGGGCACATAGTATACTCCAAGTACATACGTACCTGCACGGAGATCGCACCAAGAGTGGCGAACCCAGACCAAGATCTGGAGATAAAAGATCTCTGGAATGGAAGAATTCCAAGCCAGACCAGCGATAGTAAGAAACGAGAGACAGTGGACGGCTCACAAGCGGCCACTAACCCCCCACTAGGGCGGCCGATCGCAAGTGAACCGTGAAGGACGGACCCACTCCTATGCATACTTCTGGACTCAGGGGCAATCCAACTGCTCTTCGGTTGCACTCAGTCCCAAACACAATCCCGCCCAGAACCAGGATCCAGACAGAGAGTTAAAAA